TAACTCAGGTTTGTTAATGTCACTTAATGTACTTAACACAGGACCTAAATCCAAATTCCCTGAGTTCATATCCCAGAACCACCACTTCTTGTGTCATCTTAGACAAGTTTAAGTGTCCTGAGCCTCAGTTTCTTCATCTATAAAATGGGGAATGGGGATAATGAGAATAGTACTTTCCTCCTAAGGTGACATTAGGTTTAAACAAAGGAATCAATCCAATGTCTGCCATGTAGTATAGACTTAATACATGTAAGCTATTATTAATGGTCACACTAATATTGTACTGTACAAGAATCCACCATTTTTAAAAAAGAGCTTGACACTTCAGGGGGACCATGATTTGTTAATATCACATTTCAGTTTGAAGAGATCCTTGATATTTTCTTATACTCTGATATGACAGGCACCTGTTACGTCCCCAAAGTGGTACATGTACACAGTTCAGAATACCGGAGGACAGACATTTATGTAAAGTGCGGGAGGCATTCAGATCAGCTTTTCTCCCTATTCCTCGAGAGAAGGAAATAAAATGAGCTCAGAGAAGCCTGGTGAAATCATAAGTGGCATAACTCAGAACTGACCCAAACCTGTAGAATGACCATCCATGTGAGGTCACCACTGGGGTCTCCTGGCTCCCACCTTACTTCAGATAAACAGGAATTTCTACTTACACTTGGCAACATGATTTGCGGATAAAACAACGTGTTACCATCTCTTTCCCTTTACCATATTGTTGATTCTTAAATCATTTATTCATTCACGCATTTATTCATCAGACGTGCACTGAGTGTTTACTGTGGGCCAATGTGCGGAGCGCTGGAGAGAGGAAGGTGAATCAGACGCGCTCCCTGCTCTCACACGGCTCACGGTCTAGACTGGGAAAGACACTGAGGTGAACCGGGGTGACCAACCGCTGCAGTGCAATCGTGTGCAAGTTGCTGGGAAGTCCTAAATGAAGGAACGTTCAACTTTGTTTGAGGAAGGCAAGTCAAAGCTACCAGTCGTCATTAGAGTTCCTCAAGGAAAGCAGTTGTAAGTGAGGAAAGTTGCCTTGGGAAAAAGTGTATCTCAGAAAGGGAAATGAATGTGCAACGTCATGGGAGTGTGAGCCTGCCTAGTGCGATGAGGAAAAAGCAGTAATTCAGTAGATAAGAGGAGAGGCTTAGACCCTTCCTCCTCGGGACTTTGCGGCCGGGGGCATCCGTGAGGAGGGCGGGGCGGGGAGGGGGAGGGGCTAGGG